TTCTCCTTAATTTTACTGTGATGTTCAGATATCCTTGTTTTCAAAGATGTCATAGCTTTGCATATGTATCTACTTGCAAGCACATATTATAAAATAGATGACAGGTGGTATTGCAGCTGGACATATGGCATAATTTTAAATGCCTATCATCCATCAGATGTATAAATTCCTAAATTTGAAGGGATTGAGGACAGTCCACATTTACAGTAGCCTCTTAATAGTCTCATTGTCAGGGCTTATATAGGAAAAATTGGAATGGTCCTTGAAGGATGTGGTTCTTAGATAACTTACCATTGGTACATCAAAAATCCAGGTAATTAATTCATTATATACCAACACTTTCTAATAATCTTAGTGATCAAAAGGGATAATTGGGAATACTGCATAGAAAAGATACCAATCATCAATGCTTGATGTGGAATTATGTCTGCACTCTTTCCTGCCAGCTGGATCATCTGAGTCAGATATCCTTTCTTTTGTAAATTTACACTTAAAGGTACTGCATAGCTAGTTGGAAGGTGGGGGTGACATTTACCAGTGAATAATTCATTCAGTCTGCTGTCTGCATATTTGTCAAAAGCTTTTTTGGTATACTGCTATGAAGATAGATTGATGGAGATCTCTATCTATCTATCTATTGGAGCGTACTTGTTGCTGTGCTTACTGATGCACTCAAACAACTCCAAAAGATTGGTGAGGTAGAACTGCCTTTCTTGGAAGCCATGCTGATTCCCTCTGCAAGACTTGTTCTTGTTTAATCATACTGTCTAGACAGTTTGTACAGCCTGGGGAATGCTGGCCAATTTGTTACTAAAAACATTCTGCCTCAATGTGCTTCAGACATTGAAAAGGCAGAGAGAGTATTAGGAAAGGGTAAAAATAGTACAGAAATTGTTATAAGTTTAGTACAGAAATCTGTGAAAATTCTGTGCACTTTTCTGGTTGTTTCTTCTCAAAGAGGAAATAGCAGAACTTACAATGTACAACAAGGGCATTACAAATTGTTGCAAGTGTAAAAAAAAGTAGATACTTAATAGAACTAGACTGAATTAATTAGGAAAAATATAATCAGAGTGACAATGCTATTTAACATCTGAAGTCTCAGAAAGAGGTATTAGAAGAAATCTGAAAGTAACTTATACTTACTGATACTTACTTATTCAGCAGAACAAAGCTGTTTCCTTTAGTGGAGGGAATGCAGCTCAGTGATACAGTACATACTTGACAAATGGAAGATTCAAGGTCAGGTCCTTGGCATCTCCAGTTAAAAGAAATTCAGGATAACATAGGAAGTAATGGGAAAGCCCTGGACAGATGTCAGCCAGTAGAGGACAAAGTAGGCTAGATGAACAAATAGCCTAAACTTGCTTGCTGTCCCCTTTTGACTTATTGATTTAAAATAAATAAAATAACCTAGTGATACTGTGTGCCACACTGGCAATGGAAGGTCTATCTACCATATATTGTACTTTATTACAATGTGTTCACAGGCCCATTGTGCAAGCTGCCCCTCACACCAATTCTGTGGGGTACTGCTTGTGCAACAGAGATGTGTCAGTTCCATATCCCCATAAAACAAAACAAAACAAAACAAACACTAACTTCTTGATTGAGACAAGTCAGTAGAGCTCCTTTCTGTGATCTCTGTTGACCTGTTCTGCTCTAGGAACAAGCGTTTTTGCTCATTTCTGATTGTCTGTGAAAGTGCTATATCTCTGTAGTGCAAGCCATGGTTCTTGCTTGCAGGGTAGAATCATTGGGGATGCAACAGATTTGTGGGGGCACACTAACAAATCATATACTGTGCTGTGTAAATGATTAATAGACCTGTTCAGTTTCTCCAGAAGAGAGTTAAATCCTTCTGCTGGAAATTGTTTTTGACTGTGCCCAAAGTGACACTGAAGAATTACCTTATTTACCTGCAGTGCACATTCAAGAAAGAGCTTAACATCCCTGATAACCATGATGGGGTGGTCACTGACCTCAAGCCAGGCATCCTGGAATGTGCAGTGAAATGGGCCTTAGGAAGTCTGAGCAACAACAAAGCTAGTGGAGGTGACAGCATTCCAGCTGAGCTATTCAAAATCCTAAAAGACGATGCAGTTAAAGTGCTACACTCAATATGCCAGCAAACTTGGAAAACTCAGCAGTGGCCACAGGATTGGAAAAGGTCAGTTTACATTCCCATCCCAAAGAAGGGCAATGCCAAAGAATGTTCAAACTACTGCACCATTGCACTCATTTCACATGCTAGCAAAGTTATGCTCAAAATCTTACAAGCTAGGCTCCAGCAGTATGTGGACCGAGAACTACCAGAAGTACAGGTAGAATTTCGAAGAGGGAGAGGAACTAGAGATCAAATTGCCAACGTATGCTGGATCATGGAGGAAGCTAGGAAGTTCCAGAAAAACATTTACTTCTGCTTCATTGACTATGCTAAAGCCTTTGATTGTGTGGATCACAACAAATTGTGGCAAGTTCTTAAAGAAATGGGAGTACCTGACCATCTTATTTGTCTCTTGAGAAACCTATATGCGAGTCAAGAAGCAACAGTGAGAACTGGGCACGGAACCACTGATTGGTTCAAAATTGAGAAAGGAGTTCGGCAAGTGCATACTGTCGCCCTGCCTATTTAACTTATATGCAGAGCACATCATGAGAAAGGCGGGCCTAGATGAATCACCAGTTGGAATTAAGATTGCTGGGAGAAATATCAACTACCTCAGATATGCAAATGATACCACTCTCATGGCAGAAAGTGAAGAGGAACTAAGGAGCATCTTGATGTGGGTGAAGGAGGAGAGCGCAAACATTGGCTTGAAACTCAGCATTAAGAAACTAAGATCATGGCATCCGGTTCTCTCACTTCCTGGAAAATAGATAGGGAAGAAATGGAGGTAGTGACAGATTTTATTTTCCTGGGCTCCAAGTTCACTGCAGACCATCACTGCAGCCGAGAAATTAAAAGACGCTTGCTCCTGGGGAGGAAAGCTGTGGCAAATCTAGACAGCATACTAAAAAGCAGAGACATCACCCTGCCAACAAAAGTGTGTATAGTCAAGGCTATGGTTTTCCCAGTTGCAATGTATGGCTGTGAAAGTTGGAGCATAAGGAAGGCTGAGCGCCGAAGAATTGAGGCCTTTGAATTGTGGTGCTGGAGGAGGCTCTTGCGAGTCCCTTGGACCACAAGGCGATCAAACTTGTCAGTCCAAGAGGAGATCAACCCTGAACGCTCTTTAGAAGGTCAGATCCTGAAGATGAAACTCATTTTGGCCACCTAATGAGAAGGAAGGACTCCCTGGAGAAGAGTCTAATGCTGGGAACGATAGATGGCAAAAGAAGAAGGGGATGGCAAAGAATGAGGTGGCTAGATGGAGTCACTGAAGCAGTTAGTGTGAGCTTAAGTGGACTCTGGGGGATGGTGGAGGACAGGAAGGCCTGGAGGAATGTTGTCCATGGGGTCGCAATGGGTTGGACACGACTTCGCGACTAACAACAACAACAGCAGCAACATATCCTACTCACTATTCTATGTGATTTCTGGCTTTCCCCCTATGTGTAGCTATATTTTTCTTTCTTCTATTCTATTTCCAGAGTTAGGTAATCCATATAAGCAAATGAGCTTGGAGGTTTCTGGTGTTACTGTAACTATACCATAGGTTGCTCTTCAGATTTCTCTATTGTGTGCATGTTTCTCTACAACTCATCACTTTAAACAGCTATCAGTTGTTTCTGAATGCTTGTTGCCAAGTTCTTCCTTATCACCTCTTCAGGGATCTGAAAATTTTACACAATTATCTTTCAGCTATGAGTCATCCCAAGCCAGATACATCACAGCTTTTGTTGGCCTTCTCCCACAAGATAGTTTAAACCTGCTCTGCAACCTTTATGATGATATACTTCAGAAGCCTTGTTCCATTTTGCTTCAAGGAACTCTCTCTTTTGTACAGGTGTGATTTGCCTCAAAAAGTTCTGCAACGTGAACAAAGTATTCTACCCTACATCACCATTTCACTGAAACCCCTCAGCTCTGCTAACTGGCCCTACATACACATATGAAACAGGCAGCATTTTTGCAGATTCTACTTTGGAATCCTAGAGTTCAATTTTTTACTTAGGTGCCTTAGGCTTCCAGAGCTTCATGGTGATGTTTTCTCAATAGTGCTGGTAATAGCATGCAGCACAACCACTAATTCACAGTATCAGCCTACTTAGACAAAATGTGAAGTCTGCAACCATTGTACCAGCTAGGCAAGTTACCAGGCATTTATTATGTCTCTCTCAGACCTATTTATGTTTCTAATTAACAAATTTCCCAGTACTGATTGCTCTGTGGGAAATTATCTCCATTGCTGCAGCATTAACCTCCTGAATTGATAAGAAAAAAGTATCCAGGGATCCTTTGATGTAAAGGTTGATAATGTTAGAGAAGAAGTTAGAATTTTTTAGAATTGAGAGTACAGCCCTGGAAAAACCAAATGTAGCAAGTATTTGAAAAGACCGTTTCTGGCAGAAGCAAATGTATCTGATATTTACAAGAGATCTTCATGGGAAGAAAGAGACGTTAACAAGCCTTAGAGTATAGAAGCCAGTTGAACAGATATATAATGCCAGGAATAGGAATGAGACAACCATCCTTCTGAAAATGGCATCACGTGTTTTCACAAAGCTACCCACAATAGCAGAACCCAGTTAACTGATATAACAACACATGCCACAGATTGCTGATGCTGCCTTGCAAGCACATTTCTTCTGGGGTGTTCATTGCTGGATGTCTCATTTGTGCACAGAGACTGCTTGTTGTACAACATGATGGTTACTTTCTCCACGGGAGCAACAGCAAGGAAGGGACTTCCTGTGCTTTTTTCCTCCTTCAGTGCACCCACACTGTAGTCAACATAATTAGTAGAAAATTGGGTGAGGCTAAAAGGTTGTTGTTTTTCTGGCTGTTGTGCAGAAAGAATGGTCTGCCTACTTATCAGAATGTTTCCCTTTTGTAGCCTGTCTCAGAGATTGGTGCTGCTTCAGCAGATGGAGAGTCATCTAGGAGACAAAGAAGCTGAGAAGACATGGCAAATGCAAGAATCTAGTGCAGCTCATAAAAGAAATGTTGCACTTTTAAATGTAAGTTTCTGTGACTTTTAACCAATAGATGCTTGGTCAGAGTTCCATGTGATGTTTTATATCCTTGTTTTCTGCTGGGTTATCAAATCATGTGTAACATATTTGTGACCATGCAGAGAAGGAAGGAAAGAACTTAAATCTCATTGTGTGATAAGCTATTCCTCATGTTCTTGATATCATAACAAAGATGGTAGAGATTCTTAGACTTGTCTTGCTGGACCAGACCAACAGTCTATGACAATATGGCATGCTTCGACAGTATCTCTCATAATAACCAGACAAATATCCCTGAAAATCTCTAATGTAAGGAATGATAGAAATTCTCACCTGGGAAACGTATACCTGTGTTGAACAGGGAAGCATCATTTGTGCTGTCATATATGAGCATCACTGATATCCCTTTCTTTGTACCACTGAGTCTCAGAAGAGACCCATGAATCAGCTGTCAAATTTACATTTCAGCAGGGCCATATAATGCAGTGGATGAAAGTAATCAAACACTGGATATTTGCCCTCCACTTTTGCCCCTATCTTACTGTTGACCAAATCTTGTACCTGTTCATTTAAAAAAATGTACCTGGGACAAATATTGTACTTGATTCACAGGTAGTGGGTGATGATATTTATTCACAGCCAATGTGTACGCTTCCATTTATTGTCACTGCTGCCAGTGGTGAGGGTCATTGCATTATCATGCCACTTCTCTTCCTTCTTTCAATTCCCTCCTCAAAACTCATCTTTTTCTATGAAGCCTTTTGCACAGCCCCGTATGTCCACATTGTACTCTTACTAATCTTAATTGTGCATAACTGAAAGAAAAGCACAGTCTTTCCCTATTTATCTCTGCCTCCATTTTCGTCCCGTTTCCTGCTGCTCCTCTGAGTTGATTTCTACATTCTGACCATCAAAGGATCTATCCCTTTCATAATTTGCAAATGACCTGCCAACACACACACACACACACACACAGAGGGAGAGGGAGAATGGCACGGCAGGGCACTGTTTAAATACAAACATAAAGTAATACTCAAGTGCACTGGATCTGTTATAAAATGGAACAAGTGCATGATTAGATTGGGTGGGGACAAAACCAGAAACATTTTCAGCATTACTGAAATTGTTTAAGTGGCATGGTTAGTGTTCAGAGTCCTTGACACACACAATGGAACACCATTTAGTTGCATAACAATTCATGGCAATCCAGAATTGAAGAATAGTGTCTGTCCTCTTTTTCTTTCTGTCAAAGAAAATTCTGGGAGATTTATTTCTGTTACTGTGTGGGAATCTAGTTCCAGGTTCATTTGGTTTTAAGCTTAGGCAAGAGCCCTTGGTTCTCAAATGTTTTCCAGCTTGTGTGGGTCAAATCTGATTTTTATATTTTTAGTAGGACAGACAGGGTGTGTTTGGAGAGAAAATTGTCTATAGAAAACAGATTCCTCTCCCCAGAAGGATTCCTATTGATGACCTGTTTTCCCAGTATCAGGGCACTGGGCAGATTTTTCTTTCACCATAATTTTGCATGAAAAGCAGCATTTCACATGTCCCCCATAGGAACTAATGGTAGTTATTCATTTATATGGAAGGAAAAATGGTGTGCACTCCAAAATACTAGTGGCTGGGGGCTAAACCTTTGTGTTGTCCTTCTTTACCTCAGCCATTGAGAATGAAGCCTGTCCTTCTATTGGCCTAGCACCATTTGAGGTTGTTTATTACTCTAAAGCGTTGTGTTATGTTACAGCAGTATTAAGACAGAAGATTTGCAACTGGGTTGATACTGATATTGAACATAGGTAGGGGACTTGTGGCCTTCCACATGTTGTTGGAACTAGAACTTCCATTATCCCTGCCCACTGGCCATTTTCACTAAGGGGTGAAGTCCAGCAATATCTGGAGACCTTCACATTCTCTATCCCAGAAAAAGATGGAAGTTTTAAAAGGCATATGTTGGCCAAGGAAGCCTTTTGAGAACAAAGATGAACTCTTGACAGAAACAGTCTAAATTGATGGAAGGCACCTTCTTTTACTTTATTTCAAAAATTATTTTGCCTGTAAGAAATTATTTCAGTTTGCAGTGTCTGAAACATTTAGTGGTAAGGTGCAGAGTTACCTGGAGTGTGCTACAGGCAATAGATTTCTCCACATCCTCATTCATCACACTGTAAAGACAAAGCAGTCCTTTGGGCACTTCTGCAGTCCCTCCAAGTAAGTTGCTATGAGCTCATGATATTTCTTTCACACTTGCTCACCCATTCCAGCAAAGCCTATCTCCACAAATTTTATGACAAAACATTTCTGTAGGAGTGAGCCAAGACATGAGAGTTCTTCTTCTGGCTCCAATTCAGCAGGTTCTACTGTCTCTAAGGAAACCATTTCCAACTGGCTGCTTACTGACACTCCCTCTCAGCAAGCATACACACAATTCCATTTGGATATTAAGACATTCTTTTCTGTTGTGATGGGCCTGATCGTTTTCTCAAGTTAAGCGGCTTGCTGGTCAACTGCCTGTGGTCCACTGTGCATTAGTGAATCTGTTTCCTAACTTACTTGATTTTGCAGTGCATTTTTCTCTCCCACCCTTCCAATTGAAAAGGAAAGCATGCATGCATTATCATTCCCACAGGGAATATATACAGATAGATTTTCAACTATGCTTTAATGTTCACCTTGTTGCTCTGCTATTGCTTGTTGTGCAGTGTCATGTTTTGTGACAGAGTGTCGTTTTATTTTTCTAGAGACATCCCTGGGGCCGTTCAGTCTTAAAAGACTGGGAATGTGTCACCTCTTCCTTTGAAAAATAGGAAATTACTTCCCTTTAATTGCTTTGTTCTAAACATGTTATGACAGATCACCCACTCACCCACTCTGCTCTTTTTGGAGCTGAGGGTTTTGTAACCTTCTTGTGCATATTTCAGTTCAGTGCATATGGGATTATTTCTGTCTGGAGCTGAAAAGGAAATTTGTACATGATGGGACTCTTAGTTCTTCACAGGAACTGCATTTGGCTACATTTTGACAGAATGAGCAGTTCAGAGCTTGGAGAAGTCCCAGTCTGATCTTTGAAAAGAAACAGCCGGGGGAAAGATGAAGATTGTGTGGAGAGGGGAGTGGTTTGCTATGGCCGGCCTTCTGTGATGAGCCACATTCAGTATCAGACAGGCCTAATTTATCTCTACATAATGTATGGAGTCTAGTGATTCCACAAGGATGTTGTAAGGCAATGATCACTGTGTACCTTCTGTATTCCCCAGAATAGGTTTCTGCCTTGCTGGTATAACTGAAAGGTCCCTATGAGGGTAGAATGTAAGATGAAACATGGGCCATTTTATTAATGTGAAGCAAGGGCTATGGGTTGTTTAGCAACTCTTGTGGTGAATGCTGTGTAGCCTCTGCATTTATGTGTATTGGAGGAGAAGGAATGATTGTAACCTAACTTGTTGAAACCCTAACAATTATTTCAAATATTGTTTTACATAAACATGTGGTGATTTCATATATGCACTTTATTTTATGCACCCTTTTTGCTCACCAGATGTAGAGCAGATGCCAATAGTAGCATGGTAAAACTGACTTACACTGGCATGAAAATAATAGGCTGCAGATCACTATAGAATAAGTCTTTCATGTTATACAGAATATTCCCTGTCTGCCATCACATTGCTCTGAATAATTTCTCCAAGTGTCAGAAATGTTAGAACATTCGTGGAAGAAATAAAAGCATATGTATGACCATCAAAACAAATTGTCTGGCAGGAAAGTGCAGCATTAGTGAGTTTAGATGTATTAATTTTATTCTGGCTTTAACAGGCATGCAGCACTGCAGATGCTTTCTGATAACAAAATAAAACAGGAATGAGATCCATGCAGAATACTATATTAGAACCTTGAAAATAAGGTTCAGATTTATGTGCCAACTTTAGAAAATTGTTCCCGATAGCAGGCATTGTACATTTCACAGTTACCATGTGGAGAGTTGTTGATTTGGCTTTCTCAGAAATACACCGATGCCATGATGAGGTGTCATTGTATTTGCCTGCATTTAAATGAAACTGTGTAAAATTATTTCAGTTTTGTTTTTAGCTATGAAAAGAGTTATTATTGCTCTCTTGGTTTCAACTGAAATTTCATGCTTCCAAAACTGAGAAATGGCTGAAACACAAATATTCAAACTTGGCTTGCTGTATTTGTTTTATTAAACAAAAGAGAATATTAAAATTAGGATAAATTGATTCTTTGAAATGCAAGAGTATTGTGGCTGCAATTCTATACATACTTGCTGGGGAGCAAACTCTACTGAATTCAGTGGGGCCTGTTTCCAAGTAAAACTCAAACAGTTAATACACCAATTTTGCATGTTGGTATTGTCATTTCCTGCCCCAAGTATTAATCGCTGTCTGAAAAAGAATGCTACTAGATTAAAATAATGTTGCATAATAATTCTGTTGTAAACCACCCAGAAAGCTTCAGCTATTGGGTGGTATAGACGTTAGTTGAATAAATAAATGTAACAAACCTGATTTCCTCCCCCTCTACCCAAAGCCATTGAATACACTTTTGTATTCTCATTTGCACTTATTGTTGTGTTTCATTTATATTCCACCTTGTTTTCCTTTCAAGGATCCCAAGGTAGCTTACATAGCCCCCCCCCCCCCATTTTCTCCTTCCAACAACAGCCCTGTGAAATAGGTTAGACTGTGACAGGTCCAGAGTTATCCAGTGAACTTTATGGTCAAGCAGGTCCTAAAACTCACATCTCTCAGGTCCTCAGTCCAACATTCGAATGACTGTACAACACAGACTCTTACTTTTAATTAAACTGTGCTGGAAGCAAAGGATGAAGTCTTTCCTGTAAAAATCTCCATCTAGATTATTCTAAGACATATATCTTAGAATGCCTAGCAGTAGCCTATTCAACTCCCATGCCAGAGAATGGCCTTCTTGACTTTATTAAGATCAAGAACTGATTTATACAAATGATAGCTGATATCCTTGTTCTTTGCCAT